CATGTGACTGGGTGGGAGTGGCTTGCCGGCCATGTGACTGGGTGGGAGTGGCTTGCCAGACGTGACTGGGGGGGCGGGGCCAACTGTAAAATGTGGGGAAAATCACTTAACAATGCTCTTGCTTAGCAACCAAAATGTTGGCTCAGAAACTCTGGCATTTGAAGCACGCAAGTCTTAAAGCTGTCAAGTTACAAGACCCTTGCACCCCCAACCCTTTAGGAAAAAAAAGCCGCAGGAGTGTTCAAACTTGACAGCTTTAAGACTTTAAGGTTTAGATAGGACTCTTGGAGGTGGGCGGGGCAATTGGTGAGCCAGCCAATCAGTAAGCGGCGGGTGGGGCAAGTGGGCAGATGGGCTGGGGGAGGGAGCTGGAACTGGTTCTAAACGGCACGGTAGATTTGTGGAACCTCTTCTATAGAAGTTAGAAATGGCAGGAACCCACCCCTGGCCTGTGGTGACCCGAGTACTCTGCCAGTGAAAACGAGTTCCTGAGCTCCGTTTTCAGCTGCAACCGCCTCCTGCAACCGTCTGCCAGTGAAAATGGAGCTCGGGAGAGCCGCTCTCCTGAGCACCATTTTCACTGGCAGAGGCAACGCGGGCCGGTCCATCACTATTTCCAGGCCTGCCTCGCGGGCTAGATCTAAGCACCCCGCGGGCCTTGAGTTTGGCATCCCTGCTATAGACAATAATGGATAGATCTTGCAATTCAAAAAGGGGAATCTTTTGCAAATATCTAAGGCAGGGGCGCCAAACTCGATTTCACTGAGGGCTGCATCAGGGTTGTTATTGACCTTGTGGGCATGGGTGTGTGTGGCCAAGGTGGGCATGGCCAGTTCAACGACACTCATGTCAGGGGGCGCCTGTGATGGCCCAAACACTCTGCCAGCAAAAACAGAGCTCGGGAGGGTGCAACGCAGTGGTGGGTTCCGGGAGGTACAGCCCGGTACGGCCATACCAGTAGTAGCCAGGATCAGCAGCTACCATACTGGTACAGTGGCTCGTTTGGTCCACCCGCCTGCCTGCATTCCATGGCTGTTTATAACGCGACCGGCCAATTGCGCACGTATGCACAGCGTGCGGCACCTGCATGACCACCGCCGAGCAGTTGGTTGTCGTAGGGCGGCGGTGTACACATGCATGCGCAGTGTGTGTGCCTGACTAGGACGCCTGGCCCTGTGCGCAGTGTACCGGTTCCGACGGGATCTGGAACCCACCACTGGTGCGACGGCCTCCTGCAACCCTATGTCAGTGAAGACGGAGCTCGGGAGGACCACCATCACAGCCACCCGAGCTCCGTTTTCTCTGGTGGAGGCACCACGGGCCAATCCTTTGCTGTTTCCAGGGCTGATCCGCAGGCCAGCCGAATCCAGCCTGCGGGCCTTGAGTTTGACACCCCTGAGCTAAGGCCAAAGGGTACCCACAAAAATCAAAGCCAGAGGTCCCTTGTCCACTCACTTCTACAATCCTGTTGAAGGGCCCATCCGTAGTAGCCAGGTTTACACTCTTGGCAGTGTTCGCCTTGGGTGTGAAACAAACACCGGAGACACAACCCGGTCCTTTTGTCACAAGCCTCCGGGTCAGAGGAGTCGATGTTGTTGTTGCACTGACAGGGATGGCATCTCCCACCAACCTCTTCGGGGTTTCCAAAGAAGCCAGAGGCGCATTCGTCACATCTGCTTCCTGTTCAAGCAGCAAAAAGGGAAATCTTCAGCAAATTATCATTTGTTTATATCCCACCTTTGTTATTTCTATCCAAGGCGACAAACACACACAATATACCTTCTTCCTCCTACGTTCCACACAACAACAACAACACTCCTGTGAGGTGGGTTGGTCTGAGGGAGAGTGACTCTCCCAAAAGCGCCCAGCTGGCTTTCATTGCTAAGGTGGGACTAGAACTCCCAGTCTCTTGGTGATTGGACCAAAGACACCCAACTGGCCTTTATGGCTAAGGCAAGACTAGAACTCCCAGTCTCCTGGTGCTTTAACCAGAGTCACCTAACTGGCTTTTATGGCTAAGGCGGGACTAGAACTCCCAGTCTCCTGGTGGTTGGCCCAGAGTCACCCAACCAATTTTTATGTCTAAGGTGGAATTAGAACTCCCAGTCTCCTGGTGGTTGGCCCAAAGTCATCCAATTGGCTTTCATGCCTAAGCCAGGGCTAGAACTCCTAGTCTCCTGGTGATTGGCTTAAAGTCACCCGGCTGATTTTCATGGTTAAGGCAGGACTAGAACTCCCAGTGCCCTGATGATTGGCTGAAAGTCACACAACTGGCTTTCATGGCTAAGGTGGAACTAGTACTCCCAGTGTCCTGGTGATTGGCCCAAAGTCACCCAGCTGGCTTTCATGGCTAAGACGGAACTAGAACTCCCAGTCTCACAGTTTCTAACCTGGTACCTTAACCAC